GTACAGTAGTCAAAACTGTAACTGAGCTGTCAGTTTCTAAACTGCTGCTGATTCTAGAGTATAGTCTATACGAATTCAATCCAAACAGCTGAATAAAAGACTAATGTACCGGGTGTGATAAATTTACTAGTTAAACAAAAATTAATGGGCGCTCCGGGGCGACTTCATTGATTCCAGTGGCACATTTGCTTTTTCAGTTGCAGGAAAACCCGGAAAAACCTAAGATTGTAAAAACAAGAATATGCTTTTTGAAGAGCGATGATGCAAATGTACTTTGTATTTAGAGACTTTTACTTTAATTTATCCAGAGTAAGGATTTAGTTATGCCTTGTTCTGCACCTCTGTACGTTCATAAACTCTATACATAAATAATAAATTTTGTTGCGTTATCGGGGAACTCCATCATAAGAGTTACGTCAAATATTGAAGACATGAAGCGGATGTTCACGTTTCATTCAGTCGAACTTCGGAGAAAGTGAAAACGATTTGTACTACCTTGACACTGTAATATCAAGAATATCTTTAGCTATGCTCGACAGAGAACGCCGAATTACGCAACTAAATAATACTTTGAATTGCTACTATCCGAAAGTTATAGAAGTTTCTGTCGAAAGAGACTATAGTGATAAAAACGGGATAATCGGATAACCAAGAGTAAAATAAAGAAAACAGTCTTTAGATATGATCAATCAATAAGTATAAAGAATTATAGGGGTTTTAGTAGGATACTCAGACTCAAAGAATATTTTACTTTCTCCCAAATTACAGCAGTGACTGGCCGCACTTTCGAAGCAGATTTTTTCTAGTTATGGAGTTGTAAACATTACGGAGACCTCATCTTTGAGGATCAACTTGAAACAATTCGATCTCGATTGTTCAATAATCTATATTGATTAAAATTCAATTCAAACCGTGCAAGCGCTGCTCTGAGAATGATCAAAAGACTTTCTTGTATGCCTTGAAATAATGAGTTTGAAAAGTCGTTTCAAAATATTCACGAAAATTGAAGCTACTATCAAGCTTTTGAATTTATTTGGATGACTATGTATACCCACGTTACAACATATAATGACAAGCGAAATTTCCAGTTTCGAATTCAGTTACATCTTTCACGGTGGTGACCGAAATTTCAACACATTGAGTCATCAATTTACATATGGATTAAGCTAATGCATCCTCATTGTGAGTAATTGATTTATTATATACCATTGTTATGTTTGAGTTATAAATATTATTGAAATGAATTTATCCTAATTGAATGGAAATCGTGAATACTTTTTATGGGAAAAGTTACATATTGAACGTGGATGTGGAAAACTCTCTAAATACTGTTTTTGAGCATTAATTGTTATTTATTAATAACATAGTAAGTCCTGTTTGTTTTTTTATAATGTGTGGTCGAAAACAAAAGGGCAAAGTTGAGTTACAGTTGACAGACAAAACATTAGTTACTGAATTATGTACATCAGAAGATATTCTGACTGAGTTATCGAGTTCCACAGCTAAAACCATCAACGAAAATTTTTTCGAAAAGTTTGCTGAAAAAAACAGAATAACGAACTAACTATCACTGCCTACACCTTATGTCAACACCTGTCACAGAGTGGTAAAATTTGTAAATAAAAACAGACCAATAACAGTATTTCAACACTATACTACAAAAACATAGTCAACAGCATCAAAAAATCTCTGAAGCGGAGTGAAATATTGATCACGAAAGTCCTAACTCCTCCACAACAGAAGTTGCTGAGACTGACCCTGAATCAAGTATAGAATTCAATTGAAAAATATGAACGAAGTCTGGCAGTATTTTTATAACTTATGACAACGAGAAAGCCGTTATTAAGATAACCAACGCGGAGGATTTGGATGAATGGTAGTGACAAATTCATTATATTGTTTTTCTCGAATAATTATGCATTTATTAGCACTTATTTTAGCAACAATTTACTTCATACAAAAAATCTGGGAAACTTCTAAATTTCAAAACGCAGACGCTAAAATCAAATAACATGATAAAAAAACAGCAATCAATGTACTAGACAACTTGAAGAATGTTAATGATATAAATGATTTTTACATCAATTCATCAATACCCAATATAAAGCCACCGGATACCCTCTCAATTTTTATATGAGTAATCGAGCTATCAATTCTGAATTTCATTTCGAATAAATTAGAGATTTATTTGTTCCTGAAACAATTTAAAAAATAGAAACTAACGTTGTTGGATGCAAGATTCATACAACTCTGTTGCACGTGACTAATTATCATTACATGTTTGCTTGAGGAAGTTTTCCGACAGCATGGAGAAGAGCAGTGATAAAAGTAATACAAAAAATCGATTCCCACTCAATACAAAGACCTTCGTGCTTTCAGTATCATGCCAGCCTTATCTAGAGTACTAGAACGAGCTAGGGAACCACAATTAACATAACACGTCACGGAGTTAATTTGTTGCCGAATATTCAGTCAGGTTATAGAAAAAAGTATAGTTGGTCTACTACCCTTTTACATGTTGATATCATGAGAGCGACAGTGTACAATTCATTCTTTGCTGGACTTCAATAAGGCGTTTAATACCATTAACTACACGATATTGCTGAACATATTGGATTGCATTGCACTTTCAAAAGTAGCTGTGAATTTATTTTCAAATCTCCACGCAAACCGATCTCATTGAGGGGTCATTGATAACAGCTTATCAGACTACCTACCTGCGAAATTTGTAGTACCACAAGGATAAATTGTGGGCCCTATAGTGTTTGCTAATTATTCTTACAATTTCCTCAGGAGTATTCAACCATGTGAAACTCATCTCTATGCAGACGGAAATTTTGCATGCGATACAATAAATAGAGAACTTGACATATTTGTGAAAAGTGCTACAGACCACTGTTTGATTATAAATCCCTCGAAGTCGAAAGATATTCTATTTAGGCCTAGTAGGCGGTGCGATACTGTTCAAAATCTGGTTAATGTAACGATGAATGATGAAACCATTGAGATACTAAATGTCTTGGTATTCTTTTTAATTAAAATCTGGGATTTCAAAAACATGAATGAAAAACTTACGAGTGATATATGACGTGCGACATTACTTGCTTACCAAATGGAAAATCATCATTTGTGAAACATTGGTGTTACATCAATACAAGCAAAAAGTTCTGAAAGTTCAAAATTCATGTTTTTGATTAATATACGGAGTCAGAAGAAGGAAGAAAATCTTTTCAAACTACGTGAAACTGTTTGGTGAAAATAAAAGAAATCTTCATACCAACACACCCGGAGTTGAAAATGTCCACGACGTGTATCATCTTGCGCTAATGGACGAAATGAACTAAATCAGACTTATTAGGTTGCCTGATGGTGAAAAATAAATAGTTCCAATAAAATCGGTACTTTTTTTCCCATAACGGGTTCCATAACTTCGGGAGCGTAAGGCAACACCGGTGATGGTGGTAATACATCACTCATAATGCCGCGTTATGTCGATTGATAAAGGCTGAGACTACATTTGCTGGACATGCTGACAGCAAGTGCATTAGAGTCTCAGTCGCCTCACGACAGGCCCTGCACGTGGTGTGCAGGGCCTGCCGAGGTTTTCAATGTTCAAGATCGGCTTATCCGGTGTAACTGCAAAAGTAAAGTGATATTTGCGACTTTTATGCTGACCTTTTGCTGGATGGGTTCCAACTCGGTGACACAGTTCTTGTTGGGGCAGCTGCCTTAAAATTCCTATGGGCACAGACCATACAGAGGAGAGGCTCACAACTCCATATTATTTTACAGACTCCATCCAGTACTATTTTGTCATGTAAAAACTCCAAATTCAAAAGTACACGGTCTCTCTGTTGTTGGGGAACGCATAACCGTGGAACGGGTGATTTGATTTGGAAACTACTATAGAGATGCATTATTTTTTGGGTCCTTACTTCGAATCAATACATCTTCTACCGAGTACACTCCACTACTACAAAGGAGCAGAGTAAGATCTGTGAGAGTTAGTCCTGATACTTGCCAGGGATACAGTTTGTTTTACAGAGTTCACCTTTTGTGAGTGGTGTTATTCCGGCTCGAGGAGTATATATGTCTCTCCGACAGCAAGATGATTTCGTCTACGAGCTTCACATATTTTTTTCGATCACCGCAACGACATCTTTTGAAATGGGTCTATCTGTCTATCTCAAATTTCCTACCGATAGCACGTGTGTATTCTTCCACTACTCCCACGGACTGATGGAAATCCTTTTCTCCAGAGGTACCCCGGTTTCCGAAAATGACAAAGTTGTTCCCTCGAGTATAATGAAATGCAGAAAACAAGGGGACTGAGAGAACCATCCTCAAATATACCCCTTCTGAAAGTCACCGGCTCTGTTTGGACTACAGACTAGGTTACATCCGCAATGCCACTAATGACCTGGTCTACTCGCCGGTTTTCAGATTATCCTATCCAGATTATCCCAGGTAAACAAAATTCAGGTAATAAAGTCATTAGGGACTGTCTGTTATAACCGTTTGAAATTGTCCAAATACAAGTGGTATAAAATCCTACCACGTAGTGACGGATATATCCATCGATTTATTAAATTATTCCATTGTATGATAGTTGGATAAATTCCGAGATTGTAGATCGAAGGATTGTAAGTTATACACGGAAAGTATTTGCTTGAAATCAAAATATTTGAAATTCTGAAATTGAACGTATTTTAATCGATTGCTGCCTAGCCGTCTACCGTTTCATTATTTTATGCATTGGCAGAAGGAATCACATCTGTTAAATTTGATGAGGTTATATTGATTTTTATAAACCTATACCAATATACCTTTTATCGGCCAAAATGTACTTCGTCTTGATAGACAGTTCCATAACTATAATGAATCTATTATCAATTAATATTACAATTTCCGGTGCATTCACAGCATAAAATATTCCATCCCATGATTAAAAAAATTGAGGGTTTTGAGAGATAAATCCAGAAAAGATATACCGTACCTACCAATCACAGTTGTCCATAAATGCATCCTGCAGTGCATGATGATCCACACTAGCACAACATGCACAGATACAATTCACTTAACTGAAACTTTACGTTTGACCCAAATTTGCCGAGTGAAGACAAGTCAAAGAAAGTGACTGTTGGTGTTACCTCCCTTCTTTCTTTAATTTCTCCCACTTCTATCTTTGACATTTCTTCTTACTTTCGTTGAGAATTAAGAGGAATTTCACTTGAGGCTGATTTCTTTACCAAATTTTATTACAGGGGGCGCGAAATAAATGGTCGATATTCATGAGGAACGGAAAAACAAAGATTCATGTGTGCTCTGTATCAGACTTTTTTGTTTTCAATTGAAATTCATAAGTTTGGCTGGAAAATTCACAAAGTGTGAACGAATTTATTAGACAACTCATCTAGACTATTAGGTGCATCAAAACGAGATTTGGTATAGATGAATGGTATAGACAATTCTGGATCAGAATGTGACACTTTCGAAAGTTTATATGCCTACTTAATTTTTTCAGAGTCACTTTTGAATTGTATCTGAGTGGCCCTGATCGGACGTAAACTAATTTGAGGTCAAGTGATATCAGAAAATTACAATCAGTGACTAGTATGTTAGATATGAATAAGACAAGTTGGCAAAATTACATTTTGGTTTCTAACTATTATTTTTCAAATGGCGAACATTTTTTGACAAGCACTTTCCGAGAAAATGATTTTTTGACGAATCTAACGATACCAATTTATTTGCGATTGGATTACAAATGAGAACATGAATTGAATATAATGGAGGAGATTACTTGATAATATTGGGATAAGGATTTTGAGTGAGAATTTTACTGAAATTAGCTAAACTTTTGTTTCGTAAATCGGGATGGGTAATTTTAATGATTCTGTTTTTTGATGATTTTATTGAATTGATCTCCATTTTATTTGGATAATAGAAATGGTAATCAATGGATCTATGACTAGTTGTTGGTTTTCTGTACCTTTCAGTGATTGTACTATTTTCAATGGTGAACTGAATGTTAAGATCATATGAATTGAATACGTTCAAAATTTATTTCAATTGGCAGGTACAGTCAGAATCAAATCATCTACAAAACGTTATTTCATATTTAGAAGAAGGTACAGAAAACATTATATTCCTATTGGATTTCATGAAAATCTATTTTTTTCATTTTTCCCATGACGCAACTTCCGAAAATTTTGTTATATCCTGACACAGTTCGTTGAGTTGAATCAAAATACATATGGCTCAAAAGTTTACACCTGTGACTTTTGCATCTCCGATTTTATCGAAAATTTTTCATTTTCTAGTACTGATTAAAGGATGTCTTGATGATTTTTTCAGATTTTTTGCATCGACCTGTTTTAGAGATATACATTTTTGAAAATATTATTCGAGATCTTTTCTTCAAACGTCTGTAATTTTGTGAAAAATAGACCGAGTTGGACGATGCATACCTTCCCACAAATGACCGGTATGCGATAAACCCTGCAACTGATAGTGGGTCACTTTTCTCTTTAACTGACCTGAGGCTTTGCTATATATTGTTGGATGAGTTTGAAAACCGTTTTGATGTTGTGTCTCCTCGAGAGTTTTCCAATTCTGTCTGTGACCCTAGGGATATAAGGTAGATACGCGCATGCAACCATCTGAGCCTTTTCTTCGTTTTGAGCCATAGAACTCAGTTTCAAGATCATAACTTATCTTGATCAAAAAGTTCCATAGTGCCTACCTCGCGAATGCCATGGTTTCAATGATACAGGGGTTTGGAGTATAGTATTTCATCGATTTTTCGAATAATCAATAATTCCTTTGTAACGGAAAACAATATTCTTTCCTAGACGAACTTCAAAGCATTTCAATGACAAAATTATCTGAAATGATAACTCATGAATATACAAAGGTTGCAACTCGTTCAAAAATTTTTTTTCCAAAATATTAGCAGATATTCGTTTACTATTCATATTTTATATATTCAGAAATTCTATTAGGACCAGGACACCCTCGTCTTCACCCAATGTTTAAGAAAAATACAGGATGAAAACAATAACTTATTCTCGAGAAAGATCGTATGCTGTTAAACAAGTTATTTCTGGAAAGGATCACGGCATCATTATGCGTATTAGTATAAAAGATATTTCTGTTTGGCACCATCGAATGTTTTCACATTTCGTTCTAATAATGAAGGATGAAAAATTATAGAGAGGGATGATATGCTTTGGTTTATATTCAGGTCTTCATAATTGCCAATGTTTTCGATAAATTGTGACCGCAACTGACAATTAAAGAAAGTCCGTAACATGAATTCAGCACGATTCCAAATCTATGGTCTGATTCAGAGGAAACACAAATAATGGTAACTACCACAACAGCTACTGAACT